ATGGGAACAAAATGTAAGTGCCCTATTTGGTAACACCACTGCTAGCTCTTTGCATATATCTGCCTCAAATCCAAAAATACCCCCATATGGCCCCTCAATCCACTGCAGAAGGGCACAAGAAATGGTAATGAAAGCACCAGAGGATGCAATGAAATATCCTAATGAAAATTCAAAGAAATGGTATTGAAAGAGCCAGAGAGCTGAATGAAATACCCTAATGAAAATTCAATGAAATGGCAATGAAAGCGCCAGAGGACCCAATGAAATATCATAATGAGAATTCTAAGAAATGGTAATGAAAAATTGCAATGACATCAAGAATGAAATGAAAATGAAAGTACACAGAATACCTAATGAAATATACAATGAAAGCGCACTGGATTTCAAATGAAAGGCAATGAGAATGCAGGCTATTAGAAATGAAAAATGCATTGCAAAGATATGAAATTGACAATGAAAGAGGGTTGATATCTAATGAAATTGCCTACACCATGCTTTGCTATGGGTTATAAAAGAAATCCAAGGCATTATGAGAATGACAAATTGCCAGCCTTATATGAGATTTTTCATAAAAAACCATGGCATTTTACACACAGCGCTGTAGGCAACTGCCTTAGTTTTATCATAACTAGTGGTTCCCACTAGTGCCAGTGTACGAATGGCATCCCAGTAACGATTACGACTGCGAAACGGCTGATTACCACCTTGCTGAGGATGAGATCGAGAATGAGATCGAAGAAGTACCTACCGTGGCAGCTAAGGTTGCCGCGAAACGTTACCCAACTTCGGTGAGCACGGGCCATATCTGCATTCAATGCAGAGTTTCACATCGTATAGGATGCTCCGTTGCGGGAATGGGCAGGGGAGAACAAGTCAGATCCAGGTTTTCGGGAGGAGTTTCTCCAGGAGATGTTGAGGTTGGAAGGACGGGGGGACGCGGCTTCTCAAGGACGGTGCATGACCTGTCCATCTACAGATGCGATGTATCGATGCGAGGATTGCATGAGCCGGCTGCTG